ATTGATGGGAAGCCAAGTGTAGTTGGTAATATTATTGCTGTACAGACAACAATTTTATTAACCACTGAGCCCAGCCTCAGTAATGCCAGCATTTAGTGATGATAATGAGTAGATTCTCTGTTCTCTGGCAAATTACCTCAGCTGAATAAAACTCTGTCTGGAAATCCATGTCATAGCCCAGGTAACAATGCTGAGGATATTACAGGGGGCTATAAAGCAGGCCTTCAGATAAGAATAATTCAGGGAAACTATATATATGGCACTATCCATGGATGAAGCCTGGTTCTCTAACTATAATGGAATACTTACTTAGCTCCTTGCTTTGTCCTGAAATCCTGCTGTTACTAACATTCTCCTGGGAAGCAACCCCCTTCCCAGCCACTACAAGTAGAATTATTTGCTCAGGTTCTACTTCTGTGCAAACTTACCAGGAAATAAAGCTCAGAAATGTAACAAATTTTTGTGAATCTATGCTATAGAACACCAATTCAGCTTTCTAATCTATGCTGAAACACCCTTCTCTTAAGCATTTAGTGGTAGAAGGGTCTACCTGTTCCTTGATTCTTTCTAGAAGTCTAAGTCCAAAGCAGATGGGACAGTTACAAAATGTGAGATGTGCTGATCAGTTTCTTCAAGGCTTCCTTCATGTCTCTGCTCCTCAGACTGTAAATAAAGGGGTTCATCATTGGAGGGACCACTGTATACATCACTGAGGCAATTGCAGTCTTCCTGGATGAGTCAGTCACTGCAGAGCTGATGTACACTCCAAAAGCTGTCCCATAGAACAGGGAAACAACAGAAAGATGAGACCCACAGGTAGAAAATGCTTTGTACTTTCCCTCAGTTGAGGGCATTCTTACAACAGAAGAGGCAATTTTAAAGTAGGAGAAAATAATCCCAAGGAGAGGGACACCACCCAATATGCTGGTCACTACATATACCAAGATGTTGTTGAGGAGGGTGTCAGAACAGGACAGCTTGATGACCTGGTCCAGTTCACAAAAGAAGTGGAGGATTTCCAGGTCTGCACAGAATGACAGGCGAAGTACCATCAGGCAGTGCAGCAGGGCATCTACAGTGCTAGTGAGCAATGAGAACAGAGTCAGCAGAACACATAGACGGGAGTTCATGACGACTGTGTACCTAAGTGGATGGCAGATGGCTATGTAACGGTCATAGGCCATTGCTGCAAGCAGAAAGTTTTCTAATCCAGCAAAAACCAGGACCAAGCAGAGCTGGGTAAGGCAGCCTTTGTAATTGATGGCTCTGCTCTGTTTCAGGATATTCACCAGCATCTTGGGGACCGTGGTGGAGCTGAAACAGATGTCAGTGAAGGACAGGTTGGAGAGGAAGAAGTACATGGGGGTGTGGAGGTGGGAGTCAGTGCTTATGGCCAGGATGATGACCAGGTTCCCAAGCACTGTAACCAGGTACATGGACAGGAACAGTCCAAAGATAAGGGGCTGCAGTTCAGGGTCCTCTGAGAGACCCAAAAGTAGGAATTCTGCTGTACTTGTTTGGTTTTTTGCTTCCATATTTGTGAGGAGACTAATAGGAAAATACAGGTAATGGGAGAGAGACGAGATTTATTACTTTAGAAAATTATTTCAGCTATATATTAAAGTGAAGCAAATATTACTCTTTCCCTCTATCTTCTGCTCACTTTCCCTTTCTACCTTCTTTTCTTTCTGTCCTCTACTGTCCTCTGCTATCTTATTAACCAAATTTTATTTGCGGAAATCTACTCTTTTCCTACATTGCAACAAGTAGGAATCAAATAGAAAAAACACATTTGCCTTTGCCCTTGAAAATTCTCCACACCTTAAATCATCAGGAAAACCCAAACCAAACAATGATAAATCTAAATGAACTATCTCAGCTTCAATCCATATTTCAACTGAGACAGAATTGCTCTAGTGCTTGCTCTATAAATGAGAAATGGTTTGGAGCTGTGTAAGAAGTCTGTCTTCTCACTGATACAATGGGGAAAATGTTACAAAACCTTACAAGTATGTTGCAAGAATGAGAAATAAGAAGACCAAATCTTTAGGCACTTAATATTAAGTATGAGATGCTCAATATGTCTGTTATAATTTGTTTCTGCCATAGATATGATCAGACTGCTTGGCATGGTTGCTAATGCAAGAAAAATGATGAGTGGAACACAATGTAGAATGATGAAAGAATAATACAACACCTTGTTAAAACTCCTTAGTCTGATAATTGCACATCAGAGGGAAAGATTGATGTACTCAAAGTCTCATTGGGAATCTTGGATATATAGGGAAGTGAGAAGAATGGACAAATCAATCACCTCCACGTTAACCTCACTTGTACTACAAGATAATGTCTAGCAAGCAACTAGAATAAATAATCTACCTGTGGCAGCAAACATAAGATAAATGTAAAAAAAAGTAATTTGTCTTATAAAGCATCTATGGAATGATAAAATTTACATAGATTTTAAAATACCACTGTAAGGATAGAGACCTGTAGGTAGGGAAAGATGAGGGAGACCCCTGGAAGGAGTTTAGACAGATGGTTAAACAGGCTTAACCACCTGTGAAGAGCTGACATCCGGAGGTCACACTTCCTCTTTACCCTGTACCCGCCAAAGCTTCACTTGCAAAAGTTAAAAGGAAAAAAAGGAAACCTGACCTTAAAGTGTGAAAAGCCCCCCAAGACCCTTCCCCATCTTCCCTAGTAATCAGCCAATCAACCGATCAAGTAGGACCATCCTCAGGCAGAGACAGGATAGGCCCCCGACTACTATAAAGTCAATACCTCAAGCCCCAGTTCAAGAGTGGCTCCGTTTCAGGCACCCCTGTCTGTCTCTGAGAGAAGGCAGCTGTATTCTTGCATGCTTGCTGAATAAAAGTACAAACCTTGTATCTACACATTTGACCTGTATCTGATTCTTCCACAACCTTCTGAGTGGTTGGGAGAGTCAGGCCCCAGGTGGCAGGGATTCTCCTCCTATCTCTGCCCATGACACCACCAATATTAATTCTTAATTTCTTATATTTCATATACAAAAAAATAACACTTCAAGGCATTAAAGCCCAAGGTATATACCAGTCATAAAGTAGACTGTCATGTTTGCATTAGATATAAAATAATACATATTTACTTATACATAGTCTCAGTCATATGACGATCATGTTTTTTTCTTCCCAAAGGAACCATTGCTCACCATGAACTTGGCAATGATTATTCCATTGCAATTTCAATACATTGAGTTTTTCTTCCTGGAAACTATGTTCTGGTTTTCTTTCTCCTTTTAAAAAAATTAATGCATACTAATTTTATAATTTCATGGCATTCAGTGTGGTATTTCCATGCCTGCATGCAGAGTGCCCTGATAAAATCCAATGCTTGTCTTTTATCTCCCCCCCCCCAAATCTTTCCAAATGCCTACTATTCACCAGTCTAGTTGAGTTTTTATAGACTTCATGTGTGAGACAGACCAACTTGCTGAAATGTTATGTTAAACATGGTATTTTCTCATTAGTTTGTCAAAAGTAGTATATTTAATTACTTTTTGGTCTTCATTTTTTTTGGTCTGGTTCATTAATTTTAATTACCTCACCAAATTCTTTTTTTTTGTTTGGTACTGGGGATTGAACTCATGATCTTGTGCTTGTGAGGCAAGCAGTGGAACCACTGAGCTAAATCCCTCGCCCCTGACCTTACCAAATTCTAATATCTAGTTACATCACATTAAATAAACATACATTACATAAGTTCACACACACATGTTTGTACATCACATGGACATTTATGGACATTCATATACACACATGTAATATTGTGCAATGGGTAAAGCCTTAGAGTAACATCTGAAGAAAAATTAACTTTGCAAAATGAAGGAATGGAGCATAAATATTATGTCTATGGATATGTGGGTTTTTGTTATTTTAAGAAAGATTCTGTACTTGCAAAATGTCAACACTGGCTAAGATTAAATGCAATGATATGAGTTTATTTGTTCCCTCTCTTCTGCCTTTTCAGTTTTCATTATGTCACAGAATAACATGCAGGCTAGTGTGTAGTCTTGGGATCTGCTGTCCTCTCCACCTGCTCTCTTGTAGAATAATCCCAGGGAAAAGTGTCAGCTAAGGATGTGCACTATAATTAGGGAAGGAAAGAGTATGAAGAGCTGGGCATACACCTTTGCCAGTTGCCAAATTCTGGATACAGAATTTCAGAACATCCCTCAAGGTGAGCAACAGAAGATTACTGTTGGGGTAGAAAACATCCCTGGACCCCAGGTCAGAGTTAGACATAAGCAGAATGAAAACTGCTCCGATATTGCTGCAGAAAAGAGGCAAATATCTGGAGATGATAATTATCCAGACGCCACACAATTGACCGAGCTCTGCTTGTGTTCCTCGTGTCTCATCTCCTAGCCCACAACAGAGACTGTAGACAAACACTTCTCACTGTTGACAAAAGGTAAAGCACCAGACTTAACATTACCTGGATGCCAACACTGAAGAAGGACATTCAGATCTTGGCTGGGTGTGATGGAGATAAATGGAAGCTCTGTTCTCAGAGAACACTGAAAGGTAGAGAAGCACCTGGCTCCTGTGTGGAAATGCTGGTTGCTGGGCCCAGTCAGAGGTGCTGCCTCCAGACTAGGGTGAGGCTGTGGGGGCACAGCCACAGGTAGACTATTTGCAGCCTCTGTGGCCCTTGGGCCTCCATATCCAAAGCTTCTTATTAATCAAACTTTTCAGTCTCATGTGATTACAGGGCAGTGCAAATCCATAGGGAGCAAGCCTGAGAGACGAAGTACTTGGCTTTGATTGCTTCTTTCTCCTGGATAGGCCAAGGAAAACCACCTCCTTTTTTGCGGGGGGGTGTTCAAGTACCTTACTCTTTTACTCATGTTGGTTCTGTTGCTGAATTCTATTTTTCCTTAACCCTATCATAGCAATAATTATGAATGATTGAAACCACATTTAGTTTTGCAAACCATATTAACGATGCATATAACCTGTGACCAGAATATATAAAGAGCTCTTACAGCTCATTAATAGACAACCCAATTAAAAAGTAGACACAAGAAGATGATAAATAGCCAGTAGAGTACAAGGAAAAGTGTGCAACACCGGAATCAGAAAAATACTAATCAGTACAATAATAAGATTGAATTATACACTCCTTAAGGAGATGAAGTTAAAAGTTTCAAAAGCCTTGTCATGACTTTTTCTTTTTGTTGGATTCTCTCCCTTTGCATTTAATTTGTCAAACCCAATGAATTCATTCTGCTGGGTGTCCTGGGGTCGTGATCCTCATTGTCTTTTCCTAGGATATTGTCTAAAAGTTTTTTTGAGTGTTGATTTGGTATTCATGAAGTTCCTAATGTGCTCTTTATCATGAAAGTATCTTATTTCTCCATCAATTTTGAAAGATAGTTTTGCAGGGTACATCAATCTGGATTGGAGGCTGTTTCCCTT